ATTTAAATACTAAGATGAGGATACGTGTACAGAAAGTAATCTTGGCAATATTGATGGGACTTACGACGGCCTCTAGGGGGAATAGTATAGCACTGTACCTATTCTGTATCATATTCCACAAGGCAGGCGAGTATTTTTTCTCCATATGACCTACCCTTGTTGTGGACAGGGCAGTTTGTCGGGGAGCTGGAGACCCTTCCGGTACAAGTATGGAGGGGAAAGTGAGGTTGGCGGGAATGGATTTGCCAGTGAAATCGGTCAGGGTTGATTATACTTTAGCTTGGGGTTCGGATGTCACTGACAAAGCGGGTACGGTCGGGGAGGCTGCGAAAGGAAACTTTGCCTATTTGTTTTCGGAGAAATTGCTGGAGGAGGAGTGTTGTCAGAGTAAGGGATTACGAAAAATCGACCCCATTTGGCTGGGCAAAACAGATTACTTAAAAGATTTGTAGAAGTGGGGGTCAGGGCCGTCGGGAAGGCAGCATTGCAGAGGGGTGTAATGTTTCAAATTTGCCGACAAGGGGCGTGGTCATTGGGCGTTGGGCATTGGTGACTTTATTAGTCACACAATAACTATGTTCTGTGAACCATTAGTAGAGAGCGCCGACTAATTAGCAACAAAAATTGTCAAAATTTACCAATTTGCCGAAAAAATGCAGGTTTAAGGTTTCATTTGCCGACAGATGCTTTTTCCAGGGGGCTTGTCTCACACCCCACACCCCCCTGTCGCGACGGCCCTGGTGGAGGTAGTAGAAGGACGGGGCCTTGTGGAAACGGGAGTAGCGTTGAGTGAAGTAGCACTGCGGAGGGATGGATAATAAGGCTGCAGAGGAGTAATAAAGGAGAGCGTAGTAGAAGTAGAGGATGTTGGGAGAGGAGGATTATTTCTGGACTGGAGTAAGGTCATAGTAGGTGTTGAGGTGAGGGTAGTAGTAGTAGTGTTCATAGTAGTGCTCAACGAAGAGCCTGGGGCAGAGAACTAGGGATATTGAAATCAGTGGGGCTTGTTGTTAAAGAGGCAAGCCTAACTGCTCCTAATTGGGTACAAAATCTTCATTCCTGGCCATGATAAGCCTGGAGTGCAGTGGTAAGAGAAATGGTCCACCCCACAAGGTCCCTTTCAGGAGTAAGGGCTAAACGGAAATACCGTGTCCATGGCTCCCTCAGGCCGTTCATGACAGGCACAAAGTCAGCCTTTCATCCTTTCAGCACGGCTCTCACACCTTAGGAAGTGGATAGTAGAAGCTGAAGAAGAGAAGACTGTGCAAAATGAAATGGGTCAAGAGCTGAGGCTAAGGTAGGGGGATAATCCCTGGCATTGGGTTTCAGTCTCATCTCCTAAGGCAATAGCGAGCATAGGATGGGGGGGGATGTAAAGAATGAAATGACAAGGTAACAATATTCTTATTATACATTGTGCGATATTTCTCTTATATTATTGTTTCCTATAAATTGCAGTCCATCACTATCAGGACAGTGTTCTTTAAATATATGTCAAACTACCACTGCCATATATAAAAATGGAAAATAAAAAGCGAATAAAATAAAAAAGTTTAATATTCAATCAATAGTTGGGTTGGTCATTGGGTAAACCAATACAGTATAACCAATGCAGAACTACTCTACGAGTTTCTGTTCTATTCTAAATACACAAGTGTAATAATGGACAAGATTGTTATATTATAAGTGAAAACATGACTAACAATGCAGTTCATTTGTAATCAAGTTCCTTGAACTTATAATCTATAAAAGTTGGTTCCAAGCTGTTTCTGTTTCTACTGGTCCAAAGCCCTTATTTAGTTACAAACAAAAGTTTCCAAGGTTCATCCTTGCATATATGTTCATTATCAGTTACATTTTTTTAATGAAGCAGTATTTCGTATTAGAAATATTCCAAATAACAGCATCTGTCACTTATCTGCCTTCAGGTCCAGAGGAATTATTATCATATGCTGTATAACACAAACTTTAAATTCAAATTTCTTTTTATGGATTATGGATCTGAAAGTTTTGGATTGTTCTTGAGTATAGGATTCTTTCCAATATGGAATGCTTATAATCTGAATATGAATACGACTTGCTAAGCTGTCATTTTCACTGAATCTGTTAATGAGTATACAGATGCTCAAATTATTCTACTTTTCCTTATGAGGAAGGGTATCTCCATAAGGTTGTTTTCGGCAGCTAACCTGTTATCACAGCATGAACACTCCAGGATTACTTCCCAGAGTGAGTTCGGAGATGCCGTGTTAAGGCATATTTGTCAACAAATTTTTTGTCGCAGAACGAACATTTGTAAGGCTCTTCACCTGTGTGACGTAACATATGACTTGTCAATTTATACTTCACAGGGAAACTTTTGTCACAGTAGGAACACTCAAAGGGCTTTTCCCCCGTGTGGGTACGAGTGTGCCTAGTTAGGGCATACTTATCGACAAACCTTTTGTCACAGAACGAACACTCAAAGGGCTTTTCTCCATTCTGCATGACTTCAGCCATTTAGCAAATTTCTTAGGGAAGTTCTGACAAAATGTACTCTATTTAAGTACAATCTCTTACTTATTATATTTCAGCACCCAATCCAAATTCTCTGATAACAAACTAGTACTAGCTGCATAAATATTTCACAAAGATGAATCTCTTTTCACTGCAGAAAGCTTGGAATATCTGAAATGGAAAGACAAAAATAATTAGAACACACTCTTTCAAAGCACACAGGGACTAGATTTTTATGTTTTATAAAGTTTCAGAGCTTATGGCCCACTAATAGCATACCCTCATATTAATGGACCACTGTCCTACAGAACTATATGATGACGATAAAATCATAAATAAAGCATAAAAAATTATAAACATGAATTGGTTTCTCTCTCCCTCTCCATCTCTTTCTTTCTCTTTCTTTCACTCACTCATTCACTCACTCACACACACATAAAGATGTATATAAATACATATATACACATATATATGCACACACACACACACACACACACACACACACACACACACACACACACACACACACACACACACACATATATATATACATTCTAATAAATACATATATATACACATATACATATATATATAAATATACACATATTTATGCATATATATACACATATATACACATATATATACATATATATAAGCATATACATACACGTATACCCATATATATATATATGGTAGAAAAAAAAACATATTGTATTGAAAATGAGACTACAGTTGAGGTCTACATCTTGAGGTTTGAAATCCAGGTGGATTTCAAAAAATCTCATTTTCAATAAATCTACCAACATGGAAGAGTGTTACTATTCATATATATATATATATATATATATATATATATATATATATATATATATATATATATATATATATATATGTATATATGTATATATGTATATATGTATATATGTATATATGTATATATATATAGATAGATAGATAGATAGATAGATAGATAGATAGATAGATAGATAGATATAAATATGGATATATATATATATACATATAGATATATATACATAGATATATATATGTATACATATATATACATACACACATTATATATATATACATATATATATAAATATACATATTGTATATATATACATATATATACATATACATATACATATTGTATATATATATATATATATATATATATATATATATATATATATATATATATATATATACATATACATATTGTATATATATACATATACATATTGTATATATATGTATATGTATATATATATATATATATGTATATGTATATATATATATATATATATATATATATATATATATATATATACATATTGATATATACATATACATATTGTATATATACATATACATATACATATTGTGTATATATACATATACATATACATATACATATTGTATATATACACATACATATACATATTGTATATATACATATACATATACATATTGTATATATACATATACATATACATATTGTATGTATATATACATATACATATTGTATGTATATATACATATACATATTGTATATATATATACATATACATATACATATTGTATATATACACATACATATACATATTGTATATATACATATTGTATATATACATATACATATACATATTGTTTGTATATATACATATACATATTGTATATGTATATATACAATATGTATATATGTATATATGTATATATGTATATATATATAGATAGATAGATAGATAGATAGATAGATAGATAGATAGATATAAATATGGATATATATATATATATACATATAGATATATATACATAGATATATATATGTATACATATATATACATACACACATTATATATATATACATATATATATAAATATACATATTGTATATATATACATATATATACATATACATATACATATTGTATATATATACATATACATATACATATTGTATATATATACATATACATATTGTATATATATGTATATGTATATATATATATATATAATATATACATATTGATATATACATATACATATTGTATATATATACATATACATATACATATTGTGTATATATACATATACATATACATATACATATTGTATATATACACATACATATACATATTGTATATATACATATACATATACATATTGTATATATACATATACATATACATATTGTATGTATATATACATATACATATTGTATGTATATATACATATACATATTGTATATATATATACATATACATATACATATTGTATATATACACATACATATACATATTGTATATATACATATACATATACATATTGTATATATACATATACATATACATATTGTTTGTATATATACATATACATATTGTATATATATACATATACATATACATATTGTATATATATACATATACATATACATATTGTATATATATACATATACATATACATATTGTATAAATATACATGTACATATACATATTGTATAT